ATGCTTTCTAAATTATGTGTGTTTGGACCCAAATGAGAATTACAATTACTCATGCATGACAGAATGTGATCTGACTACAAAATGAATCAGGATTCGACTACAAAATGAATCGGGATCTGACATACAAAATAATTCAGGATTCGACTACAAAATGAATCAGGATTTGACATACAAAATAATCCAGGATTCGACTACAAAATGAATCGGGATCTGAATACAAAATGAATCTGGATCTAACATACAAAATAATTCAGAATTCGACTACAAAATAATTCAGGATCAGATATACAAAATAATTTAGAATCTGACATACAAAATATTTCAGGATTCAACTACAAAATGAATCAGGATCTAACATACAAAATAATTCATGATCAGATTCGGGATTTGACTACAAAATGAATCTGGATTCGACTATAAAATGAATTAGGATCTGACATACAAAATAATTCAGGATTTGGCTACAAAATGAATCGGAATCTGACATACAAAATGAATCAGATCTAACATACAAAATAATTCACGATTTGGCTACAAAATGAATCGGGATCTGAATACAAAATGAATCAGATCTGACATGCAAAATAATTTAGATTCGACTACAAATAAATCGGGATTTGACTACTAAATGAATCTAGATTTGACTACAAAATGAATCTGGATTTGACTACAAAATGAATCAGGATCTGACGTACAAAATGAATCAGGATCAGACTTACAAAATAAATCAGGATCTGACATACAAAATGAATCAGGATCTGACATACAAAATGAATCAGGATCTGACATACAAATTGAATCAGGATCAGACCTACAAAATGAATCAGGATCTGACATACAAAATGAATCAGAATCTGACGTTCAAAATGAATTAGCATACAGTATCATATACAAAATGAATTAGAATTCAACATGCAAATAAAACAGGATTTGACATGCATTATGAACCAGTGCCCAACGTACAAAATGAACCAAGACTGATTAGTTAGTTGCAATTTAATTCATATGTTAAAGCCTTCTATCTTTAATACCTGCACTATTTTTTTTTTATCTTCAACAGATTTCAGGAGTGTAAATGTAAAGTGCATGATGCATTGTGTGATTCTGTAGACACTCGCAGTGCAATGGAGCGTATGAGAGATTTAGTCGGTAATAGTAATATCTATATACGTGATATGAAAGCAGCAAAACTATTACCAAATAGTATACTACTACGAAATATTGCTGTCTATCTCACCAAAATTCTGAAGGTTTGTTAGATTTCATTTTACACTCACTATGCATCACTAGGTATTGGAATGGGTAGCATTCAATAGTGTTTTTGACTCCCGTGTGCAAAGCACAAAAGGGAGTCTTTGCAGTTACCCTGTCTGTATGTATGTATTTATGTATGTCACTTTTTTGTTCCACC